AGTCCATAAGGCAGTCAGCACAGGACCTGGGGCAGGCGTTATTATTACTCTCGTTATATTATTGTTATTTTTTCTTCTGCATGGCCTTCACCCTTCCAGCTGACTGGGGCGGGGCTGTCTCAGCTCCTGCGCTGCCGAAGGGCTAGCCCAGAACCCCCGCTGCCCTAACACCCTGTCTCCCCGCCCCGGAACAGGCCTCCTGGGGACTAAAGCGGCTGTGACAGTTAACATATGTTAATTTGGCTAGGCTTCAATGACCCATCGTTTGGTCAAATAAAGGTATTTTATAGGTGTGATTAACATTCAAGTCAGTAGACTAGAGGATTATGCTCCATAACACTCGGGCCTCGTCTAATTGATGGAAGCAATTCTGAGCAAAGACTGAGATTTCTGGAAGAAGAAGGAATTCAGCGTCAGGACTGCAACACAGAAACCCTGCCCGGGTCTCCAGCCCCCCGGCTCGCCCTTCCAGCCCCACAATCGTGTGAGCCAATTCCTTAAACTGAATTTCTCTCTCTGCACGTACCGACACCCGATTGCTCCTGTTTCTCCGGAGAACCTTGACTGATACAGTTGTCATTTGTCGTCATGGAGCTTCCCATCTGGGAAATGGGTGAAGGAGGCGATTTAGACCTGGGCGCCTTCGAGACACGTTCCGCTCCCCCTAAAGCTCAGCGGGCTCAGCAGCCAGCGGGGCGGGCGGGGACTGGGGTCCTGGCAGCTGGGGTCCGGTTGACAGCGCTGCCGTCTAGAGCAGTGGCCGGTCGCACGCTCACAGCCCCGCAGGGCCCTGGCCGGGAACCCAGCGTGGGATGCTGGCAGGGCTTGTGTGAACACCGGAAATGACATCTGTGACACCCGGCTCCTCCTGCCAGGTGCAAGCTGGGCACCCCCGGGTGTGGTCGGCCCTCGGGAGCCGGGTCGCAGCTCTGATGGAGGGCGTCGGGGCTCAAAGTGTGGCCGCAGGTGGCAGCCTCTGGGAGCTTATTGGAAACACTCGGGCCCCTCCCCAGACCTGCGGGATCAAACTCTGCATTTTCACAGGATGCCCCACCTGCTCTGCTAACCCGTGATTTGGGAGCACTTAGCCCGAGTGGAAACCACCAGGAGGGCCTGTTACGGCACGGGCCAGGCCGCTCTGAACTTCCGGCGAGCCACAGGTCCGGCGCTGCGTTCTGACGGGCTCCCCGGAGATGCCGGGGTGGCCCGTCTGGTCGTGGTGGAGCGGAGTGGGGGCAGCTCCGAGCCACCTCGGGACCTTTCCTGTCGGAGACCAGACGTCAGCGAGCGGGATTTGGTGGGTGGAGGAGGGCTCGGAGGACCTGGGCGTCCCAGGAGCCACAGCCCCTGAGAGCGGGCGCCGCCTTGGAGACCGCGTGGGTGGTGTCGCCACGCCCGCGCTGTGTCCACCTGCTGGGAAGGGGAGTGGGGAGCCCTCTTTCCCCACCAGGTCTAACCCCTTCCCCCTTTATGTAAACCTTAAACGTCACACGTCCCCCAGGTTTTTGATCTGGTCCCCTCCCCCGCAGCCGTTAAGGACAGAAGCTGCACAATGTTGTCCCAAGTGCTTTACCCACCGACCCTCACTGCCCCTAGGAAAGCACTCTCATCGTCCCCATTTTACAGAGGGAGACACTCAGGCCCAGAACGCTTAAGCAACCTGCCCGAGGTCACAGAGCAGGTGAATGGCAGAGCCGGGGATTCGAACCCCCAGCTGTCGCAGTTCAGGGTCTGTGTCCCTAACCATTGCACGGCACTGACCGGGGACCAGGTCCCTTTCTTGGTTACTGCCACCAGTAAAACAGAGAATTTGTTTTTTCCTTTTTCTAATGTCGAGTCGAACATGCTTTTTCTGACGGTACCAATGCCCGCACTAGAAGCCCAGTAGGTCACCCCGCTGTGGCCTACACCATTGTCACCTGGGCGCCTCTGCCTCCCTGGCCACCTCAGGCCTGCCCTGCCCTTTCTGGCCACAGTCTTCCCCGTCTGGGTGCCCATGTGCCCGCTCGGCTGTGTGCCGCCCTGTGCCCGTCCCTCTCCACGTGTCCCCACCGGTCACTGCCCAGCGGTAAGTGGGGCCGCGGCCTGCCCAGCAGCTGCCTACCTGACTCAGCCGGCTCCCGGGCCGGGGTGGGCGGGAAGGACGGAGTCACGGCGGCCGTGCCTCTGGGCCCGGGCACCGGCCTTCCCTGGCTTAGAGGGACCGCCGCCCCGTCCTGGGCCTCAGTTTCACCCCTGTGAGGCAGGACACAGCCCCTCTCCGGTGGCCGCTCAGAGGGGTTGGGAGGGCCCCGAGTCTGAGAAGCAGCTCTGTGGTCTGGGGCGATTGTGCGGGAAGGCAGCCTTGGTTCCTCTGGGGCGGAGGGTTAAGGAGCTTGCCTGGCGGGGGTGGCGTCCCCCGCCTCGCCCACTGCGTACGAGTCCGTGAGGCCTCACCGTGCGCAGGTGCTGCTCTAGGTGCTGAGCAAACAGCGGTGACGCCTCCCCTGGGAACCTTCTAGGGGGGCAGACACAGGCACACAGACAAATGTGTAAAACGACGGTACATTGCAGTGATCTGTGAAGGAACCAGCGTGGAGCTGGGACAGGTGACAGACAGCAGCTCGGGTGATCAGGCCCCTGAGGATGCGACATTAAGCTGCAACTCAGACTCTTTGCGTGAAAGGAAGCATGTCTGGCCAAGGGGGCAGCAAGTGCAAAGGCCCTGAGGCCGGTGAGAGTTGGCAGGTGTGCAGAGCACACGCAGCTGGCATGGCGGGGGCTGAGGGCACAAGGGGCAGGGTGGCAGGAGGGGGCCCCAGGGGCCTGGGGAGGATTCGGGCTTGGTGTGACCTGGGAGGGGACGGCGAGGGACGATTTCCAGGTAGAGCAGCGGTGGCCCCTGACCTGGCTCTGGCGTGGAGAAGAGGGTGTGGCCCACATCAGGGAGGCCCGTCGCGGGCTGGGGCGTGACCGGGCACAGGACAGCGGGAGCCTGGCCGGGCCAAGGAGCGGAAGCGGGAGGCAGGACGGAGGCCGGACCCAGGTGGGGCCGGCCCCTGTGTGGCCTCTGCATTGCAGAGCCCCGGGTGCTCGAGGAAGGTTTGTTGAGTGAATCGATGACTGGGAACACCCAAGCCCTTCTCTTTGCCTCAGTTACCCAATCTAAAAAAGGGACCACTAGCTTGGCATCCCTGCCCCCCAGCTCCTTCCCTGGGAGTCTGGTCACCCCAAAAGCCTGTGCCCGTCTGTGCCAGGAGTCGGGAGCATCCCTCAAGCCGGCCCTGGCTCCCCACGCCCCCACCCAGCCTGAAACCTCAAATTACCTGTGGGGCGGGCGCCCATGCACGTGGCAGGCCCAGCCCGCCCTTAATGACACCTTGCGGCCCGCCCTCCTACCGGGTAGGAGGGGAGGGGGCCCGGCCTAGGCTGTGGTTTCTTTTTCCATTGCGTCAGGCCGCAGGGGCCAGCCTGCCTGCCGCGGCCGGGCTGGCACGCGGGGGCCCACTCTGACCCCCACTCCGGCCATCATGTGCTCCCCGTTTCGGGGATCCAGAAGCTTCCAGCCAGAGGGTGAGTCGAGGATGGGGGACCTGCCCCTGGCTGGGGAAGGAGTCCCCTTCCCCACCTGCCCAGCCTGTGCCCATCGCTGAGCCAGCTGGGGCTGCGCTGAGCCAGGTAGAGTTGCGGGGGGCTGGGGGGTCCCCATCCAGCCGCACCTCCCCTGTGACCTGGCCCTCCTGGCCACGCCCTCGGCCAGGCGGGAGGGAGTGAGGGCCGGAGGCTAGTGCAGGAACCAAGGCAGGGGCACGGGCTCCACGGGAGAGGGGACAGGAAGCAGTGGCCCGGGAGTGTTCTTTCGGACGCACGCCTTTGCATTTGTCAGTGTACGTGTGCGTGTGTGACCACACACGTGTGTACGGGCAAGGAAGCGTGTGAATCTGGGAGTGTGTACCTGACACCCTTCGGGATGAGAACAGATGTGTCTGACTTGGCAGCAGGGGATGGTGGCCCAGTGGCGTCTGACATCTCAGGGAGGGGCTATGTGGGGGGGGGTGAGCTGGAGCCCACCCTGCCGGGCTCACCCCCCCCCTCCACATAGCCCCTCCCTGAGATGTCAGACCCACACCCACACCAGTGGGTGTGGACTGGGCGGTTCCAGAGGAGCTGGTGACCGTGAGCCCATCCTGGGGACGTGTTAACATGGAGGAGTGTCCCTGGCTTCCCCAGCTCTGCAGCCCTGATCACAGCCTGCCCCCTTAGCCCAGCTCCCCTGGCCTGGCTGGTTCCCCGCTGTCCCTGCTGAGGTCCCAGGTCCTAGAGCTCCGCAATGCCCAGCAGTCCTCCCCACCCTGGCAGAAAGGCCACGTATTGGCCTGAGTGTCTGGAGACCCCTGTACATCTTGCATCTGCCCTTTTCTGGCTCTGTGACCTTGGGCAGGTGACTTCCACCCTCAGGGCCTCAGTTTCCCCGCCCGTAAAATGGGGGTGATTGCCCTGCCCCGCTCCCCCACCCCCAGGCAGGCGTAAGCATAAGCAGGCACCCTCAGCCACAGGGCGAGGTGCCCATGTTGACATCCCTCTCTGCCCCGCTCACAGGGTCCAGGGTTTGCTCGCCCCCCACCCCCGCCCCAGCTTGGCACCGCTGCCCGGGCGCGCGCACTGAGAGCGCGCAGTTAGCCAGCTTCCATGGAAGCTGATTTTTACACGACAAGAAAACAGTCCTGCAGGCTAATTGTAGTGCTGTCCTGACACTCCAGGCTCGGGCTCGTGCGATTATAATGAGGTTCTAGGGGCCTACGCTGGGAGCGAGGGGGCTGAGGACTGGCTTTGTCACTGTCCAGACCCTCTCCCTGCCAGGCGCGCCCCCGGAGCATTGTATGGGGAGGGGGGGTCTCTGCTGCCAGCCCCACGCGCGCCCCGGCCTCCTGCAGGCCGGGGCCTGGTGTCCCAGCAAGAGGCTGGAGCTCAGGCAGTGGGCTGTGGCCGGGGTCAAAGGGAGGGGGACTGGATGCAGCACAGCGGCTGTGGCTTGGTCCTCCCTGCCTGGATGCCACCGGCCGCCTCCTCACTGGCCGCCTGCTGCTGCTTAGCCTGACGATCCCTTCTCCCCGTAGGGGCCAGCGAGCTTCTAGAAACACAGATCTGATCGTGTCACCTCTCTGTCCCCAAGACTTCCTTTCAGGGCCTACGGTGCCCCGCAGGACCTGGCCGTGCTCCGTGCTCTCTGTTTCCCAGCTGGGCTGGGCTGTGAGCTCTGTGGGGACTGAGACTGAGACGGGACAGTAGTCTTTCTGCAGGGCACCCGCGCGGGCACAGTTCTTGGGACCTCGTAGATGCTCAGCACACCCTCTAGCGTCAATGAACGAGCCTCGGTTCCCTCCTCTGGAAAGTAGGGGCACTGTCACCTGCCCCTCAAGACTGAATGGGGGTTAGAGACATCATGCAGGTGACATGCTCGGTCTGTGCTCACAAGGACGGTGACTTGGATTTGTGTTCCCAGAGGGAGCCCCTCCTCCCACCTCCCCGCTCTGGGGAGGTGCAGGGTCAGTAACCCACTCCACACCAGGGGGACAAATTGTTAGTAAAGGGGCAGGAACCTGGCCTTTGTGGGTGAGTGTTTAGGGGCTGGACTCTCTGCCCGGATGACGGGGCCCATGTGCCTGTGAAAGTAAGACCCGACCATAGAGGTTTCAAAGGACCGTGTCGTGATGTCTCATGGGCAGGTGGGAAAGTGAGGCACTGAGGACTGGGGTGCAGGGACCTAGGGCTGTCTTCCGCCCCTTGAGATGGGTTCCTCCACTCTAGCTCTCAACACCTTGCACTCAGAGGAAAACAGAACTTCTCAAAGTGAGCAACCGTCAGTAATTAGCCTTGATAAGAGAAAGGTACATGAGGCCCGGAGCATGGAATTTGAGGAAATTGTGTACCAGTGAAAGGGTAGACTCTGTGCGGAAGATAAGGACCAACTTAGGCAGGATCTGAGCAATATGAAGGGTTTGTGCATTCATTCATTTATACACTCATCCTTTGTTCATTCAACAAATATATACTAAATGCCTCTCCTCTGCATCAGTCACTGTGCTTGGGCCAGAGATATAGGATGAACGTGATAGTGAACAAAGTTGAATTTTGAGTTAAGTTACCAGAATGAGTTTCCTAGTGGCCAAAGCAATGAGGGAAACCTGCGTAGCTGTAAACTCCACCGTGGCCACAAACGCTACAGCTGCCTATAAGTTAGTTGTTCAGGCAAAAGCCCAGGTTTTCCTGGCACAATGCATGTCCGGGACTGCCATGTCTACTGTGCTTTGTTGCTGATCTGACAAGAGTAACCCATGGGACCTATGTGTGTCTCATGGATAAAGACCGACTAAAGCAGAGGAAAACTTCAAAGACAATGTAAACACACCACTAGAGACTCCTTTTTCACGCATTTCCTTGCATCGTCCTCTCTCCAAGCCTTTTGCCCATGTTAACGCCCTCACTGCCACCTTGCTTGTCATCTCGAAGCCCAGGTGGTGACGCCTTATGGTGGGGGCATAGCAGGTGTGTGTCCCCTCTCTGACCCTCCCTCTTACTGCCCTAGACTGCCAGGAGCTGCTGCCGCCACCGGCTGTGATGGCCCACATCCCGGGAGGGGGCGCCCCAGCGGCGGGCGCCGCCCCCACGGGCCCCCAGTACTGCGTGTGCAAGGTGGAGCTGTCGGTGAGCGGCCAGAACCTGCTGGACCGCGACGTCACCTCCAAGTCCGACCCCTTCTGTGTCCTCTTCACAGAGAACAACGGCAGGTGGACGGAGGTGAGGCCTCTCCGTGTGCGTGCGGTGGGCCAGGAGGGGTGGCCGCCAGCCCTGTCCCCTGCGTCCAGGGACAGAGCTCTGGATCCCTGTCCCCTCGGGGGATCCCTGTCCCCTGGTCAGGCCCCTGGAAGTAGCCGGGGGATGGGCTGGCAGCAGGGGATTATTTAGAAAATTGTTCCTCTCAAAAGTAAATTTAACTTCTATTTAAAATATTAATTATATCGATGTTTAACTTATTGTAATTATAACCCATAGACTTATAATTATGTAATTTTGTATTTACTGTTTTATATCACAATATTTTAAATTATTATAATATTACTTAAAATGTTATAGTTTTAGAAAATGCTCACTTCCATTTTTAAGTAACGTTCCCCCTTTATGTCTAAATGAACACACGATCAGTGAGAAGCAGAGAGCCCAGGCTTTGGTCCCAGGCAAGTCTGAACCTGTCTGTCTCCCCATCTGTGAAATGGGATTTTTTTCTCCCCCTGCCTGCCTTGGAGTGCCCCAGAGCTGGGGACATTGATGGTGGCCCAGCCAAGGACTTCTGGACTGGGAGACTTTGGCTTTAGGATTAGGGAAGGATGTAGCTTGAGGAAGTCTATTGAGAAACCTAAACTCTTAACACTTTCAGGTTGTAAAAACCTTGCTTTAAGTCCGGGCGCGGTGGCTCACGCCTGTAATCCCAGCACTCTGGGAGGCCAAGGCAGGAGGATTGCTTGAGCTCAGGAGTTCGAGACCAGCCTGAGCAAAAGTGAGACCCCCCCCCCCGTCTGTACCAAAAATAGAAAAACTTAGCCAGGCGTGTTGGTGGCGTGCATCTGTAGTCGAGGAGAATTGCTTGAGCCCAGGGGTTGGAGGTTGCAGTGAGCTATGATGATGCCACTGAAGTCTACCCAGGGTGACAGAGACTCTGTCTCAAAAAAAAAACCCAAAACTTGCTTTGCTTCCTGTTCCAAAGGAAACTATATTTATTGTAGTGAATTTAGAAAACCCAGATAAGCTTGAAGAAGAAAATCAAAATGGTGGGAACCCACCAATCAGGGCGAACCACTGTTGACAGCTTGGCATCCGGCCTTCCAGATAGCGTTATATACGTGTACAGTTTCCAAAATACACGTCTGTTTCCTGACGGACGTTTGACTGGGCCGCCGTGGTCGTCCAGCTGAACACACCGTGGCTTACAAAGAGATCTTGGCTCCTTCCGTGATGCCGAGGAAATGGAGGGGTTGTTGGCCCATTTTACAGAAGGGAAACTGAGGCCCGGAGTGGGTAGGGACTTTTCCGTGTCACCCGGTGTGTTGGCAGTGCAGCTGGAAGTGGGAGGGGGACACGGGGTCAGCTGAGGATTCCCGGTGGAGTCCCAGGCCTGCCATGGGTGTGTCTGGGGCCCCGGCGCCCGCCTGCCAGGTCTCCGGAAAGCCTGCCTGCCCCTCGGGGAGTGGCAGCCCCTTCCGTCATGGCAGTCCCCCGTCCCTCCCTCCCTGACAATCTCTGCTCCCACCCAGGCCGGCCACCCTGGCTAAAAATAGCCCGGGGCCAAGACCTCTTCCGTTCCTGCTGCTGGAGCCCGTGGAAATGAACCGGGTGGGAGGAAAAATCAACACAGCCTGGGCCCCAAAATAGACTGTCACCCAGACTCCGCGGTTTGGGGCCTCAGCGTCAGGAGGCCAGGAGGCAGGTTCCTGTCCCAGTGCCACCACTGACACCGGGCACGGGGCCCCATCCTCTCCCAGGCTTTGGAGTCCACGGTGCGGTGCGTGGAGGCGTTAGGCCGCGCGGTTCCAGGGTTCTGTACAAAATGCAAACGTCTACCCCAGCCCCGGGCGGGGCGCCCTCGACTCCACCTCCCCCTAAGAACCCCTCCTCCCTGTTTTATCTCTCAGCTTCCACGTAAAATGTGATTTGAAAAAAAGAGTTTTCCCAAAATAAAAAGTACAAAAACTGGCTGGGTGCAGTGGCTCACGCCTGTGATCCCAGCATTTTGAGAGGCCGAGGTGGGAGGATTGCTTGAGGTCAGGAGTTTGAGACCGGCCTGGGCGACATAGTGAGACCCCATCACTACACAGAGTTTTTAAAAATTAGCTGGGTATAATGGCACACACCTGTACCTGTAGCCCCACCTACTTGAGAGGCTGAGGCAGGAGGATCGCTTGAGCCCAGGGGTTTGAGGCTGCAGGGAGCTCTGATTAGGCCACTCACTGCGCTCCACCCTGGGCGACAGAGGGAGATCCTGTCTCTTTAAAAAAAAAAAAAAATAGGAAAACCACAGATAGTTAAATCCCTTCATTTTACAGAAGTGGAAACTGAGGCCCAGATGGGGAAAGGGACTTGTCCTCCATCCCTTCCCGAGGCAGGGACAGGGCCCGAGCTCTTACCTGGGCGCCTGGGGATGAGGCCAGAGTTGAAAAGTTACTAAGCGTGCGTGTACTAGAGTCAGACCAGGCTTTCGAATCTTGGCCCTGACCCACAAGCTGTTCAGCCTTGGGTAAGTCACTTGACCTCTCTGTGCTTCCTTGTCCTCCTCCGCGAGCTGTGGGTAACGACTGCTTCAGCCACGCAGGTAGCTGACCGCGCGTGCCCGGCGCGCAGTGGGTGTCGAGCGAGTTCGCGGGGTGATTTCCAGCGGCCTGAGAGCGCTTGACCCCGCTGCCTGGCCTCTGACCCCCATCTCCCTGCCCCCGCCAGTACGACAGGACAGAAACCGCCATCAACAACCTCAACCCCGCGTTCTCCAAGAAGTTCGTCCTCGACTACCACTTCGAGGAGGTGCAGAAGCTCAAGTTCGCCCTGTTCGACCAGGACAAGTCCAGCGCGCAGCTGGACGAGCACGACTTCCTGGGCCAGTTCTCCTGCAGCCTGGGCACGGTGAGGGGCGGGAGCGGGCGGCCCCTCGCACGGTCCCTGCCGCCACCTCATCCCCGGCCCCCGTGTCCCCCGCTGGCTCCCCAAGTGCCAGTGCAGAGGGAGGAAGCAGCCTGCTGGGTTTGGAACGGGGTGAGAGCTCCCAGCTTAAGGGGCGACCAAGCACAGGGCCAGCCAGTTGCTGCCACACGGGAAGGGGCGCCCCGTGTGGCCAGAGGGAAGTTACCAGGTGTCGGCTTGACTTCCTGGGGTAGGAGCATCCCTCTGTAACTAAGGCGCCCATGGTAGTCCCATTTTGTGGCTGACCTGCTGTGTGACCGTGGGTAACTTTCTTTCCCTCTCTGGGCCACACTTCCCCATCCAGCTCAGTCCTTGCTAAGCTCCGGGGGGGTTAGGAGGGGCGGGACTAGGAGCCCCTGACACAAGTTCCCAATCACTCCTTGCAGCTCTGCTCCCTTGGGCAACCCCCCACCCCCTCTGGGCCTCAGTTTCCCCAGATTTTACTTGAGGATCATGACGACTGCTCTGCCCAGCCTATGGGGGGAGGGGGAGGGGATGAAATGGAAGGTGCTTGAGAGGTCCCAGCGGACACTGGAATGCCCTGGGCCTTTGAGAAGGGGACGACCATGAAAAGCCAGGGCTGACGGTGGGCGTGACGTCCTCCTGTGCGCGAGACACTGGGCGCGGCAGCGGCGTCCCCACCGCGTGTCCACGCCTTCCAAGAGTAGCCGCGCAGAGAGCTTAAGGACTCGGGGACAGCAGCAGGGAACTGACCAGGGGTGGGGACGCCAGCCACCCGGCCTGCAGGGAAGGCGGGGTGAGGAGGTGGCATCGCCAGGGCCTGGCGAGACCATGGGAGGCCGGGAGGGAGGCCGGCCTCTGGGCTGGAGCTGAGGCCGAGGGCGGAGCAGCCGGGAAGCTCCCACCAGCCCACGCTGCCTCTGTCCCTCTTGTTCTCCCGTCCCCTGCTGGCGCCCCCAAAAGCCAGAGGACAGAGGAGCCGGGTGGTGCGCCCGCGGGGTGCAGAGCAGGTGGCTCAGAGAGAATGGCCAGTCCCGGGGACAGGGACAGGTCATACTGGTGTGTGCTCATGACTGCAAAAGGAGGCACTGGCATCTTGCCCAAGAAGCCACCCACCGAGGTAGCCATGAAGGGGTGGGTGCGCGGTGGATAGACGGGCGGGAGGGCGACTTTTCAATGAGCTCGGCTTTTCCTGTCCGCGTTGTTTTGAATACCCAACGCTGTGACCGTGTTGCCCGTTCAGCACAAGGGAAATACACAGCAAGGTCAGAGCGTGACCCTCTTAAAGGGGGGGGCTTGGGGGGGGGCCTAGGCCTCCTTCGTTGTCTCCAGGAGCCTGTTCCTAGGGGTGCAGACCACGGCAGTGCGAGTCACACTGGGATTCCCTCCTTGCTGTGAGACCTCGGGCAAGTTTCTCAACCTCTCTGGGCCTCAGTCGCCTCAGCTGCCCAGACTGGATAATGAAGGGCTGCGGTCCAGGCTGTGGCAGGAGGTGGCATGCTTTCCTCTGTCAGCCAGCGCGCCCCACCACCCCACCCAGCGCCTTTCTCTCCTCTGTCCCCCAGATCGTCTCCAGCAAGAAGATCACTCGGCCGCTGCTGCTGATGAATGACAAGCCTGCGGGGAAGGGCTTGATCACGGTACGGTACGCCCGCCCCGCCTGCTCCCGCACCGCTCCCTCCGCCCTCCCGTCAATGGGCCGCTTCCCCGCAGATAATCACCGCCTTTGTTTGGAGTAAAAAGCCCAACTTACAACTTAGCAACAGGTCTCTTAGCAACGGCTCCTGGCTCCACAAATGATGCATTGGGGGCCGCCAAGCTTGGGGACCGCCACAGGCCCCCGACGGCGGCCAGCTGTGGGGCAGGGGCGCTGCTGCTGTTCCTGGGGGTCGCCCCAGCCCCCCACCCCAACCTGGCCCCCTTTGGGGTCATTGCAATTGATTGCGATTGATTGCCTGGCGACACTGCGGTGGCTGCTATGCGCAGTGGTTCCGCCATGCAGTGTGGGGGCCCTTTGCAGGGCGGGGCTCCTCCCGCCTGGGGCTTCTAGAAGCCTGGGCAGCCCCGTCCGTCCTGTGGGTGGAGCCGAGGCCCGGAGAGGAGGTCCCTGGGTGCAGTTCTAGTGTCTCCCCTGGGTTGTGCCTGTGCGCTTGTTTGACGCCTGGGGAAGTGGCCATACTGGAGGGTGAACGTCCCCCTCCATGTGTCCCTGTGGCCGTCACTCGCCTGCTCTGGACCCTCGCAGGGCTCCTCGCTGCCCGTGTCAGTCCTGGCTTGGCGTCCTGCCCCGGCGGGGTTTGCCCCCTTCGCTTCAATGCCCTGGGCTCGAGGCAGGTGGAACTCCTAGCGCGCCCTGAGCGTGTTCCGGGCCCTCGTCCACTCTGTTCCTGCCACCAGGACCCCCCCACCCTTGGAGTCAAGCCGCCCCAGCTAACCACCTTCGCAGGGCGGCTTCCCGCCCCGGCCGGGTGTGCGTCACCCCGTCTCTGGCCTCGGTGCCCTCCTCTGGGCGATGGAGCAGTAATAGCACCCGCCCCACTGGGTTGGTGAGCGAGTCCAGGAGGGCAGGAGGGGAGAACGGGCCACCGGCTGGGCTGTCTGTGGCTGCAGAGGGCCGAGTGACGCCGTTAGGTGAGGCCATCCTAAAGGGACGAGAGAGGAGTGGGGGGCAGGGACAGGGACAAACGGACTTCCTGCCCCTCCGTGGGGAAGGGAGGGAGAGAGGCCCAGAGAGGGCTCTCAACAGTCTTGAGGTCGCCCAGCTGGTCCGTGGCTGGCTGGGCTGGGGTCAGAGGGCCGTGGCTGATGGGGAGCTCATGGAGGACAGAGGACCGGCGTGGGCTGAGCTGATGAGGCAGCACAGGGCACTCAGTGGTTCCTGCCCCTCCCCTGGGCCTCAGTTTCCCTAGCTGCACAGGGAGGCTGCTGTAGTTCTGATGCCTTGGTGTTCGGAGGTGGCTGTGCCCTCTGGGTCTGCAGAGGACCCGGGGAGGCCGGTCCTGTCCTGCTCCCTGGCCCAGAGCCTCTCCCAGGGCTCCAGACATCCCCAGCGTCTGGTCCCTGCCCCGTCCCCACCCCCCCGTGGGCCTCTGCTGTCACGTCCCGATTCCTCCTACCCAGGCGGATTGTTACCTTGTTTTCTTTTTTATTTTTGAAACAGAGTCTTGCTCTGTCACCCTGGCTAGAGCGCAGTGGCATCATCATAGCTCACAGCAACCTCAAACTCCTGGGCTTGGATGATCCTCCTGCCTCAGCCTCCCGAGTAGCTGGGACTACAGGTGTGCACCACTGCACTTAGCTACTTTGTCTGTTTTTAGTAGAGACGGGGTCTCGCTCTTGCTCAGGCTGGTCTCGAACTCCTGACCTCAAGCGACTCTCTTGCCTCGGCCTCCCAGAGTGCGAGGATTACAGGCGTGGGGCACCGCACCCAATGATTATTAGCTCCGTTTTCCAGAGGATGGAAATGGAGGTGCAGGGAAGACAACAGACTTGTCCAGGCTCACCTGCCACTACCCCTCCCCTCCTTTCACCCTCCCAGCCGGAGGATTGACTCCCGGGGCACCCTGAGCCCACCCTGCCTGGCAGGAGGGGGCGGGGGCGTGTAAGGAGCAGGCCCCTCACGGTCCTCTGGCCCTGCAGATCGCCGCCCAGGAGCTGTCGGACAACCGGGTCATCACGCTGAGCCTGGCGGGCAGGAAGCTGGACAAGAAGGTGAGGCGGCAGGGGAAGGGTTTCCCAGCCGGGCGGTGTCCCTCCCCCGGCCCAGGGTTCTGTGGTCCAGCCCTCGGGCCTCTGGCCACCACCTTCATCGCACCCCAGGGACGGGCCTAGCACAGGCCCCCACTGGCCCTGTGAGTTAGGACTCCCTCCACTGAGGTAGTGAGCTTCCCATCACTTAGAGGTATTCAGAACACAGCTGGAAACCCACTCTCTGGGGCGCCCCCCTCACTTAGTGTAAATCCCAGGGTCCTTCCACTACCCTGCAGGGCCCTACCCCATGTGTCCCCAGCGCGCTGACGCCCTGACCCCACCCCCTCCTCTGCTGCAGCCAAATCCACCTCCGTGTGCTCGAATGAAACGAGGCACCTTCCTACCTCAGGGCCTTTGCACTTGCAGCTCCCTGTGCCCGGGAGGCTCCTTTCCTCCAACACCCCTGGCTCCCTCGCCGCCATCAGGCCTTTGCTCTTACGTCACCTCCTCTGCGAGGCTGTCCCTGAAATTGGTCTTCGATCCCCACCCCTCCCGCTTTGCTTGTCTCCGTGACACTTACCGCCACCTAACATGCATTCTTAGTCATTTTATTTTCTGTCTGCCTCACTTGAATATCACCTCTCTTGAGTGACTTTTTTTTTCTTTAGCTTAAATAAATGAATTTTTTTTTTTTTCTGAAACAGAGTCTTGCTCTGTTGCCCAGCCTGGAGTGCCGTGGTGTCTGCCTAGCTCACAGCAACCTCAAACTCCTGGGCTCAGGCGATCCTCCTGCCTCAGCCTCTCGAGTAGCTGGGACTACAGGCATGCGCCACCATGCCCGGCTAAGTTTTTCTATTTTTAGTTGTTTGGCTAATTTCTTTCTATTTATAGTAGAGATGGGATCTCACTCTTGCTCAGGCTGGGCTCGAACTCCTGAGCTCAAGTAATCCTCCCTCCTCGGCCTCCCAGAGTGCTAGGATTATAGGCGCCACTGCGCCTGGCCAATAAATGAATTTTTAAAGGCCATCATATTCGTTCTGTAATATGCAGGACAGTTTCAGTTTTCCAGATTCCCACTAAAATAAATCCGAATCCGCTCCCGCTGGGGGCTCCGCCCTGCATCGGGAACAACCTTGCTGTTGAAGTTCTGCCCCATCTAAGATGCTGCAGTTCTGACTCCCGCAGGCCCGGGGCTCAGGGACTCTGAGCATGCGCTCTGCAATCTCAGGGTCAGCGGTTTCTGCACGGGGGGAGCCGGTTGGTCCCAGGGATTGCAGCTGCCCCAGGCCTTGCCGAGCCTTGCAGAGGCCACGGGGAGAGGGGCCAGGCTGGTCCTGGCCACAGAGCCCACCCTGACGCCCAGCCAGGGAGACAGCAGGTCACACCCCTGTCCCACCAGAGTCCAGTGGGGTCATACCTCCCTCACTCGTGTCCTCTGCTTCTCCCAGGACCTCTTCGGGAAGTCAGACCCATTTCTGGAGTTTTATAAGCCGGGAGACGATGGCAAGTGGATGCTGGTGCACAGGACCGAGGTGCGTACGTGGGGCCCGGGGGCCCCTAAGCCGGGGGGTCTGCGGTCCATCTGCCCCCAGCTGCCCAGCACGGGCTGTGCGGTCACACCATGCAGTTGCACGAACGCCAAAATAGCACCTGCAGGCCTTGTTCCTGCCCCGCCACAGGGGTGTTGGCTTCTGTCTCTGGAAGTGTGGCAGTTTTTCTCTCCATCTTGTCACCCTGCCTGTCCCCATTGGGCTGGACCAACCCAGAGCACTGCTGACCTGGGCCTGAGCTCACTCCACCCCTCTCTGTCCGGCAGGTGATCAAGTACACGCTGGACCCTGTGTGGAAGCCGTTCACAGTGCCACTGGTGTCCTTGTGTGACGGGGACATGGAGAAGCCCATCCAGGTGAGGGAAGCTCTGGGGACCCTGCTCCCCTCCCTGCCAGCTCCGCCCTCCCAGTCTGCCTGCGGCTCCTGGGGGCGCTTTGTCAAAGCTCTGTCTTAAGAAGCCCATCTTGGGGACAGGGACGGGACTGGGTCCTTGTCCCGGGTCTGCCTGACTCTCTGAGCTGCCCGGGCGGGGCCCCACCTCTACGAGCCCGTCTATGACAGTGTGCCACCCTTCCCGGAGGGCTGTGCAGCTGCCAGCTGGGGTAGTGAGTGCGGAAACACCCCAGAAACGATCAAATGATGAGGACAGTGATGGCTGATCTCTCTAGAAGCCCTCGGGCCGGGTCTGAGAGCAGGTGGCAGGGGGGAGACAGCCAGGTCAGGGCAGGCAGCCCCAGATAGGGGACCAGGAATCTCGTGTTCTAGTTCTGGGCCTGCTGCTGCTGCTGTGAGACTTTGGACAAGTGCTTCCCTCCTGGGGCCTCAGTTTATCCATCAATAGGGTGGGTACAATAATTCCTGCCTTCTTTGTGGGAGTGTCATGGCAGCTAAGTTACAGAGCATAGAATGCTGGGGTTTCTACGCCCATTGCAGAAAGAAACACAGTCTAGAGAGGGCCCCAGGCCATGACAGAGGAGGAGCCAATTGCCAGGTGTCTGAAGAGTCGAGCTTCCTGCACTGGGCAGGCACGCTTTCTCCTTTACTCGGCAATCCCGGAAGGCTTCCTGCAGGAGGCGGTTCGGGAGCTACTGAGGCCAGCTGGGCAGAGGCGGGGGGAGGCAGCACCCAAACAGAAGACACGGGCTTGCTCGGGAGCTGAGAGGGGCTGGAGAGCACCTCTCGGGGGACAGCTCCGGGCTGACTGTGCTGGAGCCGCCCCAGGTCATGTGCTACGACTATGACAATGATGGAGGCCACGACTTCATCGGCGAGTTCCAGACCTCGGCGTCGCAGATGTGTGGGGCTCGCGACGGCATCCCGGTGAGTCGCGCTCGTGCTGTGACCCCGAGACCTCCGTGGGGGCCAAGGGAGGGGCACGGGGCTGGAGTGCTGCAGGCCGGGGCTCGGATCCCACCCCTTCTGGCTGTGTGGCCTTGAGTAAGACCTGCAGTCTCTCTGGGACTCAGTTTCTCCATCCGTCCATGGGGGCAGAGGGTTAGGGTGGGAGCCAAATGAGGTGATGCGCGTAAGGTGTCAAGGACATAGTGAGCGGGCGGGAGCCGTCCGGAAGCTGGACAGGAAACAGGCGACTCGTCTGGGGAGGGCAGTGGCTGACCCTCCTACATTCTCGGGTGTGACCATCCGGGCGGGCTCCCTGGAGGAGGCATGCTGCCCCCTTGTCAAGGCGATGGAGGGGATTCTGGGGCCTAGGGGAGGCTGTGTCCCCAGAGAAGCCCCGAGCCGAGCTCCTCTTCCCTCTCCTGTGTCGCCCAGCTGGAGTTTGAGTGCATCAACCCCAAGAAGCAGAGGAAGAAGAAGAACTACAAAAACTCGGGCATCATCATCCTGCGCTCCTGCAAGGTGAGTCGGCCAGCGTGAGCGCGAGCCGGGCGCCAGGCTGGGGCCGCACAGACAGGGACCGCTGCAGAAGCGACAGACAGAGCGCTGGGTCTGCAGTCCTCAAGGCCTGGGTTCAAATCCTGGCTCTGCCATCTCCTGGCTCTGTGGCCTGGGGTAACCTCGCTGGCCTTGTCCCCTCGTCTGGAGAATGGGGCTGTAAATGAGGCCGAGCAGGTGAAGGGCTAGTGTCACATCACGTTGCTGTGCGGAGGCGGAGGAGGGCGTGAGATGACCTTCCAGGCCTGTCCTAGTTGGAGGGGAACCGGACGCGGAACCACTGCTCTGCTTGCTGGGGGGATGCATGTCGGGTGTCCAAGGGGCAGAGGATGCCAGGTGGGGCACCCTGTCCTCTCTTGCATCCTGAGAGCCAGGTGACTGTGGCTCCCGTGGTACAGCTGGGGCCACTGAGGCCCAGAAAGGCAGCCAAGCTCACGGCCGCAGCGGTCGGGCTGAGATACCTGGTGGCCCTTCCCGCTGGGCCGGGCAGGGTGTTCGGGGAGGCAGCTGGGGCAGGAGAGTGCGGCCCTGCACTCGGGGCCTGAGGTTCAGAGCTGGGTCCTGGCGCTGCCGTCTGCCAGCTGGTGGGTCCCACACCCCAGGCCCCATGTCCTCGTCTGGAGCCCAGGCCATCCAGCTAGCATTTACGAGAGTAGTCAGGGACATTGCAACGAAAAAGTGTTCTGTAAATAGCATCACAAATCTCCATCATTCACATCTCTCTTCACAACTTTTGGCACCTGCTTTACTTAATATTTTTTATTCTCAGCTTTCTCCCTCTCCCCCACCCCAATTTTGTTTCATTTTTTTTTTTTTGAGACAGAGTCTCACTCTGATGCCCGGGCTAGAGTTGCCGTGGCGTCAGCCTAGCTCACAGCAACCTCAAACTCCTGGGCTCAAGCGATCCTCCTGCCTCAGCCTCCCGAGTAGCTGGGACTACAGGCATGCACCACCATGCCCGGCTAATTTTTTCTATATATTTTTAGTTGGCCAATTAATTTCTTTCTATTTTTAGTAGAGATGGGGTCTCGCTCTTGCTCAGTCTGGCTGCGAACTCCTGACCTTGAGCGATCCCCCTGCCTCGGCCTCCCAGAGTGCTGGGATTACAGGCGTGAGCCACCTTGCCCGGCCTACTTCTTTTTTTAAAACTTAAATATATGTCTTTTGAAAGGAACTCTCATAATGCCGCCAGAATGGAAAGGCCAGGATCTTTGCCAAAAGGAGGAAAAGACCGTCAGAACAAATCCAGTATTTTGACAGCGTCGTTCATTTATAGCGGAAGGCCCCGAGACGGAGGCCTGTTTTTCTGTTGTCACAACGGTAGATTAGTATGAGCTGGGAGTTGTTAAGGACCCGACAGCACCCAAGGGAGACTTTCTCTGTCGGGTCCTTAGTAAGTGACATTGATTCTAGGCCCTGGAACCCTGCCTGGAATCATCCTGTGTCTGTGTTGGGAACTGTCCCTGGGTCCCCACCCATCGAGAGCCATTGTTCCAAAGGCTTCGTTATAGAGAGATTTGTGTATTGTTTTAATCAGATTGGACCTTCCCCCACCCCCCGCATTTGCGGTCAGCGTGACCGAGGCAGGGGACCCACTAACTCACCGGCTTCCTTCCAGATAAACCGGGACTACTCTTTCCTGGACTACATCCTGGGCGGCTGCCAGCTCATGTTCACGGTGAGGCCCCCCCCCCCGCACCCCACCCCGGCGAGGTCCTCCCCGCGGGCTTGGGCCACTCCTGCAGCAGGAGGAACTGAGGGTAAACTTCAGGAAGGACTTCCCTGGGGCAAGGGTGCGCCTGGCCCAGCTGGGGCTTAGCCACAGGTCAGAGCGTGGCTGCGCAGCTCTCGGTCCCCTTGGAGTGGGGAAAAAGCCGGATTCCTCCCCACCGGCCTCTAGGCCTTCCGAGATCCGGCCCCTGCCCGCCCAGCTGCCCCATCCTTGCTCCTCGCTGACTCGGCTCCCGCCACTCTGTCCCTCTGTTCCCCAGCGCGCCCAGCTCTGCTCCTCCCGGGGGCTTTGCCTCTGCTGTTCCCTCTGCCCGAATGCTCTTCCCTGGAAGTTTCGCGTGGCCGCCTCCCTGCCACCCTTCAGGCCTGGGGAGGTGACAGAGGTCACCTGTTCCCGTCACATCCCCTGGTGGTGGTCTGGGCACTTGCCTCTGAAATTCGCAGGCATGTTTCCCTTCTCCCCGTCTGAGCCACCTGCTGGGAGGCGCGTGCACGTATGTGCCCTCGTGCACGCGCCTTGGCTATTTCGTTTCCGCTCCGGCCTCAGCATTTCACACGGTGCCCGGCGTGGCAGGTGCTCCCTGATTACCTGTTGAGAGAATGAATTGCCACTCTGCTGGGGGCCTGGAGTCTTCACCCAGGCTCGGTGCCATTCGTCCTGGCTTTTGTTCCGGGGGAGCCTCAGGCCCGGAGGCAGGGGAGGAAGCTGCCAGGGTGCCACTCTCTGCCCCCCTCCCCATCTCTGCCCCCAGTGGGAGGGGGGGAGGGCATTGCAGGACTAGGTGGGGTCAGGGATTGGCCTTGCTGACCTCTGACCCTGCTGGTCACCGCTGCTCCTCCCCGGCAGAGAGGTTGGGTCCTTCCGTTCCTCCTGTGTGGCCTTTGCTCATTGAGCAAGTGTGCGCTGAGCACCGCCCTTGTGTCATGCTCCAGGCTGGGCCCCTGCAGGGTCCCTCGAGGACTAAGGCATTCCGCCTGACCTTGGGGAGCTGCCCCTCCAGCAGTATGAGGATTTGGATGGTGGTCCCTTCTCTCCCACCCCATGGTGACTGAGTTCCAGGGGCTCCATCTCTTTCCCTGGTTTCTATTGCTGATCCTCCCCTGCCAGGCGGAGGCCATTCTTGGCCACCCCTCCAGGCCACGCTTCCAGGGGCTGGGCTGGGACCCCTCGGGGCTCAGAGCAGGTAGAGCCCCAGTGCCTGCCCACCCGCCAGCCCCCACGTCCCGGTTGAACACCTGCCCTTTACACTGTCCCCAGCCATGGGCCAGGCTCCTTGAGGCATGTGCCCCCAGGCCCCCTAGTGAGCTCCCAGCTAGTGCCCTGCCAGGCAGCCCCAGGTCCCAGGGCCCCCTGTTGGTCTGATGATGGGGAGATAGCTCAGGTTGGGGTGAGGTCTCGGGAAGGCCTCAGTGGGGCTGTAGTTTGGGCCTGGGAGATGGAGCAAAAGGAGGCGGGGAGAAAAGATGGCCTGACTCTTCAGGCAGAGGGACCCTCATGAATACTGGAAATGGGAACAGATGAATGTGTGGATACGGTTAGTGAGGAGAGAAAGGAAGCGAGGGCTGTCAGATAGCCTCGTACCACATCTGGGCAATGGACTTTATGCTTGGGCAGTAGGGAGCCACAGATGGTGTTAGAGCAGAAGAGTGATATAATCAGATGGTTTCTAGGTTTTAGACTATCTTATTGGGGCGAGGGCTGGGAGATGAGTGGGCTTCCCATATCCCATTAGCGTCACCTGTTCCCTGGCCTGGGATAGGGAGCTGGGGTCCTCTGGCCACACTGGGTAGCCTTTGTCCTCCCCGCCCTGCAGGTTGGAATAGACTTCACAGCCTCCAATGGGAATCCCCTCGACCCTTCCTCTTTGCACTACATCAGTCCCATGGGCACCAACGAGTACCTGTCAGCCATCTGGGCTGTCGGGCAGATCATTCAGGACTACGACAGGTAAGCTTGGAGGGGGGCTCTGAAGGTCAGCTAGGTTTCCATGCAACCTGGGAAGCTCAGTGTGTCAAAGCTAGAAGGGACCCAGAGATCATCAAACGTAGGAGTGGCCAGCACATGTCACACATGCACTTGCCCCTTCTACGCCTGTGGCAGACATTGCCAATCGATTGCTGTGCACTTACCTGCCAAGCCCAGATTCAGATTGGGATCCTTCACGCAGCACAGCAAGTAGCCAGCAGGAAAATGAGTCAGGATGGGAGATGAAACTCATTCGTTACTGCTGCGACCTCTCCTCCTAGAGCCGGGCAGTGGAGGCCTGGGGTGGGAGTGGCCTCGCAGACCAGGGGGACTGGACCGGGGCCAGACATCTGCTTGCTGGGCCCGGCACTGCTGCCCTAGCAGTCCCGCTGCTGTTGGGAACCTCCGAGGGACAGACAGCAGCGTGGACCCTGTTCCCACAGCCACGCTTCCTGGGGACCTTTGGGTCAGGGGTGCAGTGGAAAGTCAGAGAAGGAAAGCTGTGTACAGGTGTGGCAGGTGTGGCCACCAACAGGATGTGGCATCGTTGTCACAGGTGGTGCTGGTTGGGCACGCCAGGTCAGAGGGCAGAGTGACCAGGAGGCTGACACATGGCAGGCAGCTGGGTGGACAGAGCCAGTGGCAGGGGCCGGCGGGCGCAGAGCGGGCGCAGCAATCCCGAGTGGCCTTGGCCTCCTAGAGAGACGCAGCCTTAGCACCAGCGTCTGATTCCAGGAGACTCGGGGCCTGAGCGTGGCTGTGACTCCAGGCCACATGAAGAGAGGTGCAGCAGGCAGAGCAAGGGAGGCGGAAGTCCCCACCTGCATGGCCGGGTGGAGACCCCGGCGTAGCTGCTCCAGAGACCCTTTGATCCAGCGCCCAGTCGGCCCTGTCACTGAGCCATCTAATGAGCATTCGGGCTTGGCGAGGCCCCGGGGAGCTCTGGGCACTGGGTTTGAGCCACCATCACCTCCTGCCCAGGTCATTTCATGAGCCTCGTCACTGGTCTCCCTGCTCCTGCCCCGGTCCCCGCACGTTTGTCCTCCACAGCAGCCACAGGGATCCTCCATAAATACATGTTGAATGAACGAACAGATGGGACTTGGTCCCTGCCCTCAGGGAGTTCTCACTTAACCAGGAAGAAAGGGAAGAGATCATTGCAGTTTACTTGTGAGGCAGGAGCTATGGGAGCACAAAAGGGACAGGCATTATAGGGTACCAGGGAAATCTACAGAGAGAAGGGACCATTTTGATTGGGCCTTAGAGGATGAGTAGGAGTTTTCCAGGGGAAACAGATTAGGGAGAGGTATTTCAGGAGGGAGCACGACGGAACTGAATTTGAGATGGGAAGGTAGCCTGCGTGTTTAGGGAATAAGAATGGCCTGAGCTGAGGGAGTGGGCTGTTGGGGAGAGAAAGTAGGTGGAAGGAGATGGGACTGGACTCCCGAGCTGGATGATGAAAGGCCTTGAATGCCAAACCAGGGGTCTTATTTTAGGAGAGTTTTCCCCAGCTGTAAACAGGAGGTTGAGAGGCAGCCAGTCTATTCTACTTCCATGGTAACCTTGGTTTAGTGGCTGCCCAAGGTCTCTGTTTGAGAAGGATCTAGAAGCTGCACCAAGGCCCATTGGTTAGAAGTGCTGTTGTTGATTAGCAATGTCTGCTACAGGCGTAGAGGTGGTCAGGCCACATGTTCGCCAGATACCCAGAGGCAGGATTAGGCTTACTGGATAGATCCTTCTAACGGAGCTCTTTCTAGAAGGCTGAGCTTTTCCTTTCTGTCCTTGGAGGTGTGCAAGGCAGGAGGGGCCCACCCCTGGGTGGGGGGCTGGAGGGTTGAGCATGGGTGGGTAGAGGTTCCTGTCCAGCTGAAGTATCCTGTCACAGTGTTTTTCTGTCCTCTGACTAGTGACAAGATGTTCCCGGCTCTGGGATTCGGGGCCCAGTTACCCCCGGACTGGAAGGTGAGTGAAGCCAGACTTAGTTTCCTTTTGGTCGCGATGGGACTTGCGTGTGGCCTCTCTGGGGTCTGGAGTGGCAGGCACTGAGGCTGTAACAAGGGACACCACAGCGAGGGCTACACTGCTGATACCGCGTCCAGTGGGGAGAACAGAGAGGGCTGTCAGATTTAGCAAATAAAAAGACAGGACACCCAGTTAAGTTTGAATTTAAGACAAACAACAACTTTTAAAGTATAAATCTGTCCTGAATATTGCCTGGGACATACTTAGACTAAAAAATCGTCCATTGTCCGTCTGAAATTCAAATGCAACTGGGCGTCCTGTATTTTGTTTGGCAACTCTAAGGACAGGCTGTGTCACTGGTGCTGAGATGGGGGCAGCAGGGTCCTGGGGTGAGCCCAGAGGAGGGGGGATCCAACCCAGGCTGGGGGCTTCCGGGAAGGAACCAGGAGAGGAGTGGTTTGGTGGCCCAGAGAGGGAAAGTCCACGAGGGCAGAGTCTGTAAAGCTGGGGGACATTGTCCCGTTTTACAGGTGAGAAAACTGAGGCTCAGAGCCTCAGAGTGACTTGCCCAGGGCCACTGGCTTCCAGCTGGGCAGACGGACTCTAGAGTTTATTCTCAGAATCTGTTGCCTCCCAGATGAGAAGAGAAGCATGTGGGGTGTGGGCACAGAGAATGTCTACATCTGCACATCTGGCTCAGCCGGTGCCCGCCTGGTCTGCCCTGCCATGCCGCATGCTGTTTCCAGAATGAGCTTTTTCCTCCCATCGTCTCTGGTCCTCTCTGGGGAGGACGAGTCTCACCTAGAATTTCAGGGAGTGGCGCCAGGGCCAGGGCAGGAGAGGTGGGCTTCCTGGCCCTGGGTGGTGCGAGGCAGGGCCATGTGGGACGAAAGCTGGGCCTCTGGACAGACACAGAGATGCCGTTCGGGGGGCAGGGCCAGCTGGCGCGGCCAGGCCCAGCACGAGCCCGTTGCTAGGACACCGGCCAGCTTTCAAAGAACACAGCTGAATGAGTTGTTTTCTTGAGCAAAAGCCTCCTCGGAAATGTCACCGGGCAGCTCTGGGGAGGCTGGGGTTCGGCCAGGCTGAGGTGCCTGGCGGTGCCAGGAGGGATGCGGGGCCAGGCTGGGAAAGGACAGATGCTCATGCCTGCTACCCCAGGGCCTTTGCACGAGGCCTCGCTGCTTCTTTTCAGCGCCTCCCCTCAAGGGCTTCTCCTGCGGGGGCCTCCTCCCTGCCCCGGCCACTGTCCTCGCAGGCCTTTGTCATTTACATGTGATCTTTTGGGGCACGCACTGGGCTTCCTTCTGCCATGTCCCTGCTCCTGGCCTGCCACAGGTGTGCGGTACTTGTTTGTTGACAGAGTGAAATTGGGACCCGCCCAGCAGCCTGAGCAAACAGGGCTTGGCGCAGTGAGGGTGGGGAGCTGGGAGGAGACCTGCCTGCCTGCCTTTGGGACCTCAGTTTCTCCGTAGGGCTGGCCCAGGTGAGCCCAGAGAGCATCCCCGCCCCAGGCAGTGGCTGAGGGGGCACAGAACACGTCTTGCACCTTCGAGATGAGCCAGGTCCCTCAGACAAAGAGTAGGGTCCAGGCAGAAAGAACGGCCTGCACAAAGGTCTGGAGTGGGGAAACTGAGGCTCAGAGAGGACAGTCACTCTGAGACCCCTTCAGCTCCCCCCACCCCACCCCGCTGCTTCCCCAACCAGGGCGACACGGAGCTGAGTCTTAAGTAACTCCAGACCGCAGGGCTGGGCCAGGTGGGGTGAACGGGCCACTGATTGTCACAAGGCAGCAGGGAGTCCCAGGACAAAGACCTGTGGCCGGCAGCCGGTCCCCAGGGGCCCCTAATCGGCTTGCTGTGGCCTCCAGGAAACTTGTCCTGTTTACTGGCATTTCTCAGCAAACCAGGGCAGCAGGCGTGGAAGGGGGCTGGGCGGCCTGCTGCAGTCTGCGGACACTGGTCCTCCGGGTCTGGCCCTGGCTCTGCTGTGGCTCGCTCATGTGACCTGGGCACTCCCTAGCCTTCTCAGAACCTCAGCTTTTCCACCTGTGAAAGGGAGCTGCGGGGTTAGGCCACCTCCACCGAGTCCTCTAGGGTACACAGGTGACCACCACAGCCCCGCCCACCTGGCACGGGGCCAGCCCCGCCCTGAATAGAGGGAGAGATTGGGGGGCCCAAGAAAGCGGAATATTTGTCCATCCCTGTCAGGAGGGGCTTTTCCACTGTGGTCTCTAAAATCTGATTTTGCAGGAAGTGGTTGGCCCAAGGGAGGCGTTTCCCTGGCAACCGTTTTCTCTCAGCCCCTCCGTACAAGCCCCTCTTGTCATCTCTGTCCAGGCTCCTGAAGTCTCCATGGCAACGAGGACCTCCAGCCCCTACACCTGGGGCCCAGGCTGGGGACAGGGTGAAGAGGGCCCCTGGGCAGGGACAGGGTCCACCAGGGACATCTGGGGACGGTCCCTTGCGGGGCACCTAAGGCTGACTGCAGAGAGAGAAAACCCCCTTCCCTGAATGGGGGGGGGATCTTTTCAGGCTGCCAGGCCTGGGGGCAGTGTGGGGTGAACACAAGTTGCCAAGTCCTCCCCCTGGCACCCCCCCCCCGCCTTGGCCCAGGAGTCAGGCCCATGTCCCACCCCCCCCACCCCCCCGGTGAGGCTCGAGGGCACTGGGTTTTAGGGCTGTGCTGCTGGGTGGCTTTGGCACCCGGCTTCCCTCTCTGGGCCTCGCCTTATTTACTCGTCAAATGGGGACGCTGGATTTAGCAGGGACTTCCAGTACCCTCGTGGGCTCTCAGGGCTAAAGGGCATGTCTGGGCTTGCTTGTGCCCAGACTAAAGCTCTGTCCTGGCGGCTGGAGACTGGGGGGGGGGGTCACTTTGGCCTGGGCATCTGGTCACCAGCCTAACGGAAGCTGTCTGGGGAGGAACACCTTCTGAGGTTAGCGGGTTCATGGAACCTGAGCTCTGGAGGGTTCTAGTCCCAGCTGTGCCCTTCAGTAAATGTGGGAAAATTCTAGTCTCCGTTTTGTCATCTATAAAATGGGGGGCTAACAGGTGAGGGAGGAGTGAGGGGATCCCCGTGAAGCCCTGAATGTGGCGCGGCACGTGGCGGGAAGGCAGCTATGCAGAGGCCCGGGGCAGGGACACAGGGATCCGCCGCCTGAGCTCTCGGGCCTCTCCCGAGGCCCTGGGTCCTGCAGCCACTGCGGTCTTGCCCGCAGCCCTGAACAGGGGCAGCTATTGGTCCCTCTGTGTTCTCAGAGCCAAGAGGACAGCGACAACAGTCCAGTTGTTGGCCCAGCAGGGTCCTGGCGTGTGCAGGTCTGCCTTTGATGGCCCACTTGGGGAAGGGGCCGGCCCAGAGGCAGAGAAACAGGACCCATCCCTGGGAGGGCCGGGACAGCCCTGTCTGACCCGTCAGCCCCATTCCACTCCCCAGTGCGGCTCCTGGTGGGGGGAGCAGATCCCAGTCTTGCTGGCTGGCACAAGGCGGGCTCCCTTCCGAGGCCTTTTGCTTACTATGAAGGTAGGGAAGAGCCTTTGAGGCCCCCAAATTTCCAGCTGTGGGCCCTGCACACTGTGGCAGCAACGATGAAAGGGTTCTCCGAGTGCTGCTTGAACCCACTGCCCTTAGAGCCATCTCTGTGCCCCTCAGGGACTTTCTTAGAGAGGTGAGGAGCATAGGCAACCCTGGTCTCCCCAGAAGAGATTGGGGTGATGTGCAAGGGCCTTAGTTTCCCCCATTGTGAAGTGTGGGTGGTCAGGCCTCTCTGTGGGTGAGACGCAGCAATGGAGGTGACGGCAGATGGGGGTTGTCATAGCCTTGGGGAGGGGGTTAAGGGCTAAGGCTGGCTGGCAGTGGGAGGGGCGAGGCCCAGGTTTGGGGGCAGAAGGCTGCGGCTCAGCCTCTTCTCTGCATTTCAGGTCTCCCACGAGTTTGCCATCAACTTCAACCCCACCAATCCCTTCTGTTCCGGTGAGTGTCAAAGCCACCTGCACCTGCCCTGGGTCTACACCAGGCAAGGCTGTGAGACCTTGGAGAGGCCACACCTCTCTGGGCCTTTGCCTCCTTACAAGCCCTGGGGGAGGTATGCCACTGCTTTGCTCCCTGCGTGGGTGGTTAGGTGAGGATGATGGGGAGCCCCCTGTAACCAGGAGGTGGTGAAGGCACCGTTACACCCCTGCTCTCACCTTCCCGCCAGCCCTGCTGCTGGGTGAGGGCTGGGAGGGCAGGGCATGGAGGACTGGGAAGTGAGTGCAGCGTCTGTGCGTGCCCCACCCCCAGGCCTAGAGGGGTTCCTGAGCCTCCTAAGGGCAGGGAGGAAACTGGAGGACAGGGGAGATACAGGGGCGTGTGGAGGAGGGTGGCTGCTACCTTCATGGCACCTTTCAGCTTTGGCTTGCCCCCACCCCCAAAGCTGGGCCGGGTTTGTACTCAAAAGGGAAACCATCAAGCCACCAACTTAGGCACTTGGAAACCATCAGCATCTGTTGCTGGAAACGTGGGAAATGCGGCCTCTACCCCAGTGCTCGTGTCTGATTTGAGGTCGGTTTCCAGGGGCTTTTGTCCAAGCTCAGGTTGCTCAACTTCTTTGGCAGGAGGTCTTCTGGGCAGGGACCACAGGGCAGGGGGACATTCGTAGGCTCATTACGGCAGCTATTTGCAGAGCACCTACTGTGTACCGGGGCCGTGCAAGTGCCTCGATCCCCCAACCCCGAGCAAAAAGCCACAGTGTGTCCAGAATGGACCTCCAGATGGCTTCCCGTGGCCTCAGAGTGCCACTTTTCTGGAAGGGTCTGCTCAGCGCCCCTCCTGCCTGGGAGTGTGGGTTATCAGTCCCATTGACAGCCAAGGGAACAGGCTCAGAAAGGTTCAACAGCATGCCCCAGGTCCCACAGCTAAGAATCGCAGGATTCAAACCCAGGTCTGACTCCACATTGAGGGCTCTTGGCTTGACACCACCCAGGCCCTGCCTGCTGGGAGCTTCCAGCCTTACGACCCTGGCAGGGACCATCTGAAGTGGGATGAGGGCGGGCGCGGGCGGGGGTGCTGGGCTGATCCAACTCTCCCCCCGCGGCAGGCGTGGACGGCATCGCCCAGGCGTACTCGGCTTGCCTGCCCCACATCCGCTTCTACGGGCCCACCAACTTCTCCCCGATCGTCAACCACGTCGCCCGGTTCGCGGCCCAGGCCACACAGCAGCAGACGGCCACGGTGAGTAGGCGGCCACAGTCTGGGTGGCACTGGCTGGGGACTGCCCTACCTACCCCAAGCACCCACCGCTGTGGGGCTGGCAAGCGGGACATTGTGGCTTCCCTTCTCTGAGCCTCGGTTTACCTGCAGGTACTTTAAGGGGGTTGGACCAAGCTCAACTGGATTGGCCCTGGCTAGAGCAGGAGCAGGGCTGTGGTCACTGGGACAGGTCTCCCCAGGGCAAGCACATTTGTTACTACCGGGATGGAGGGAAACCAGGTGATCCTGGAGGCCCTCAAGCTGGCCCTTCTGAGCCACCTACTTCCAATTAGAGCAGTCCCCACCTCGCACTGAAGGCTGCAGAGCTGTCTGGCCCGGCCCCGAGCGCAGTAATAGGCCACAGCCTCGCTGGCCTGGCCTGTGGCAGGTGTGCGTCCTGCCCCATAAAGGGACAGATTCATGTCTGTCCCTGCCAAGGGCCATGTGAAGCTCAGGAGGCGTGGGCTCAGTCAAGAAAAGGGAACCCGTCCTATGAGGAAGGGGACCCTCCTCCCAGAGGAGGGAGGGACCTGGTCACTAAGGAGGTGGAGGTTAGCTTCTGGGGTGGGTTTAGAGAGAGAAGAGGATACAAGGGCCACCCTGGGGAGGGGCAAGGCCTGGTCTGATTGTTACGGAAGCAGTGGAGTCTGGGGAATGGGGTTTGAATCCTGACCCTTCCTCCCTGTGACTCGGGCAGATCTCGTAACCTCCGTTTGTGCAGTGGGATTCCTAATAGGATCTACCTGGAGGAGGTGGTATTAGGATTAAATGAAATAATGCAGTGCCTGGCACCCAAAAAGACCTGAAGGACACAAAAGGACAGGCCAACAAAGAGCTCAGGGAAGCGGGAGGCAGGGACAGGCAGGAGGGAGGTCAGTGTGCGTGGAAGAGTAAGGTCGTTACTGCTGCGGGAGTGTGAGACCGGCTCTGGTCCCCCGACTGTGGCAGCTAGGAGCCTGAGACATGTCCTTTCCCTGCTCTGAGCCCATTTCCTCTAATGAAATGGGAGTTGCCATCCCCAGGGTGCTGTAAGGATCTGGGGCAATGTGAATGGGCAATAACTAGGGAAGGCCTGGGAGGGACATATTTTTAATTCCTGGGGGTCCTGGGACAGAGTGGGTTGGAGAGGGCAGAGCCGGAGGCAGCCCTCAGCTTGCACTTCCTTCTGTTTGCATGCCAGGCTCTCGTCCACCCAGTCTGTTACTGGTCTGCGCTGGCTTCCAAAGCAATGGGAGGAAGGAAAAAATGTGGGCAGGGAGCGGGAACGGAGCCCAGCGTTAGTGCCAGGGCTCTTTCGCCTGCTGCCCTGTCGAGCCAGCGGTGGGACTGGGCAGGAGCTGGGGGACTGGGGAGAAGTGGGCCCCTGCCTGCCAGACTCCAGGTCTGGAGGGGATTTGGACCCCAGGAAAGGCCAGGAAGGGTGTTTTGTTTTTGAGGAACAACTGCCAAGGGCCCTCCAGAGAGAACGGCTCCTTCTCTGAGCAAAAAGACGGGACGTCCAAGCAAGGGGCACCTAGCCCTGATCCTCTGGACATCCCGGACACTTTTGTCCTGACTTGGTCCTCCCAGCCTGGTAGTGGGGGGAGGGACAGGCTCCTCCTGGCTCCTGTACCCTCACAAACCTGTCACCCACTACGCTGTGTGACCCTGGTGGTCTCCAAGCATCTCTGGCCTACAGGAGGTCTCTCGGCCCCTCCTGCTCTGACGTCCAGAGCTGGTACAGCCAGTCTCCACCCCCTGCCTTACATTGCCCTGGACTTGGGGTGCACAGAGGTGGGTGGGGCTGCCTGATGCTTCAGCCTCATGCTCTAGGAGGTTCCAATCCCAGCTCCCCCACTCCCTGGCTGTGTGACCCAGGGTGGGCATCTTAAACTCTGAACTTGCGTTTCCTCACCTGTACAACGGGGATGATGGAAATAGTACCTGCCTTCTAGAAGCATTATGAGGATTCAACTGCACAAGCATACAAGTTGCTAGCTTAGTGCTTGGCACAAATCTTTTGGGGGACACCTCTTGGGCTAGCATTTGGTGATGCTGAGCACATTCAGGCCCAAAGAAAAAGGAAGTCATTTGTGGATTATCTGGTGCTCTTGTTCAGCTGTTTTTTGGTTTTGGGGGGAATATTTGGTATGGCTTCACCCTTCCTGTCCCCAGACATATGTGCTCTGAGGCACACCCACGTACAGGAAATGGAGAGCAGGTGGTGGAAGCTTCTCTAGGCAGGCCTGCGCTCTCCATTCATTCATTCATTCCGTGCATCTGTACCGAGCGTGCTCTGCACAGCGCTGGGGAGACCGTGAGGAACAAGACACAGCCTCTGCCCGCCCAGAGCCAGGCCGGGAGGCAGCAGCTGTGAAACAACACGATCAAACCCAAGGTAGCACTTAGCCCAGACAGCGGGCTCAGGGAAGGCTTCTTGGAAAAGCGACATCTGAGACTTTTAAGCATCCTCCGAGTTAGCCTCATAACTGGAGTGTGTGCACGGGGTGTCCCAGGCTAGTGTGTGGGCAAAGCTGAAGGAAGGAGTGGGGTGTGGAAGGAGTGGGGGAGAAGGGACGGGACGTGAGGTTGAGAAGGCAGGCGAGCACCTGCAGAGCTATGGAGGAATCTGCATGTGCTCTTGAGGGCAGTGGGAAGTTTTGGGGGGGCCCCGTGGGGCCTCCCATCATGGGCCTTCATCCTTACCTCTGCCCCGGCCCATAAGACCTGGGTTTTGCTGTCCATAGCCGATTTCTGGTTGGTCACCTAGGTGTCTGGTGTCCGAGTGGAGGGGGCGCTGGGAGGCAGCCAGCAGCCTGGGAGTTTCTCCCTGCTGCCACCTCCAGGGCCCCTGGCAGCCAATTCTCAGAAATAAGGTGGGGAATGAGTGCAGCGTCCTCACTCTGCCTGGAACTGCTGTGGTCAAGCCAGTTTCATACAATCAAATCACACGTTAAATGCATTAGGGCTATTTACAGCCCTGGAAACCTGAAGGACCTCTGGGTAAAGGCAAGAGATACTCCAGCCTTGAACTGTGTTGGGAGTTTGGGTCTTTGGATTTGACCTGATGGTGACTGGCTGTTTCTGGAGGTGGGAACGCTGCCAGGGTGGACCAGTACCGACTTTGGGGACAGCAGGGCCTGCACCTCCTGCCAGGTCTCACCTCTCATTCTCCCATCTAGAGCCCCCTACCACCCTTTGATCCATCTTGGAGGTGGGGCTTTGGACCCCTGGGGTTGTAATGGACCCTTGCAGCTCCTGGACAACTCAGGCTCTGTCCAGGCTGGGGACCCTCAGGCACAGCCGGGCAGAAGCCAAGACCAGGCGCGTGGGTGTAGGCATGCGCCGGTGGGTGGGCACACAGGAGTGACGGGGGCTCTGGACCCTAAGCTCGGCTATATCTTGCACATTCAGGCCCTCAGGCACCAGCGTGCTGGATGGGAGGAAAGCTTACAGGCCACTGGTGCCAGGCGGTGGTAGAGGAGGACATCATAGAAAGAGCCCAAACTTTGGAGTCTGGACTGTGCCAGTTCCCAGCTATGGGGCCTTAACAATTCACTTAACCTCTCTGAGCTGTCTCCTCAGAGCGATACTGAGAGACACTGCAGACACTGTCTTTATATGGCCACACCCTGTCCACTGGTGCCCAGTCGCGTACTAACCTGGGCCCTGTCTGCCCCACATCCCTGGGGCGGAAGGCTGCAAGGCCTGAGCCCTGCAAGTCTCCTAGGCACGTGGCTGATTGAAATGGGAGAGCCAAGAGTTGGAAGGGGCTTGGAGACAAGTGCCACCCACTGATGGTGGCCTGTTAGACCAAGGTCAAGCAGTCTGCTTTCCTTATTGCCAGGCCGTAGTGTCTTCCCTCCAGCTTCCATGTCCTAGAAACATTGCCCTGGACTCTTTCTGGTGGGACTGAGGTTGGCTTAGAGGCCACCTAAGGGAAGGGGCCCTGGGGCAAGGGTGGGCTGCAGCACAGCAGGGTCTGGATGGACTCTGAGGCCTCCCAAAGCCAGGGATGGGGGGCTGGCAGCAGCAGCCCTCCACTGTGGGATTCAGGCTGCCATCTCCATGGCAACAGGTTTCCTAGCCAAGGAATTGGTCTCTTAAAGGCACAGTGCTAGAGCTCAAATATCACTGCATGGAGCTGGGGGTGAGGTCCATGTCTCCACATGGCTCTTCTGCTCCTTTCTCCAGGGTTAGTACTTGGGGCACAGACTGGGGAGCCAGGCACCCTGGGGGGCTGAGCTTGTACGCTCTGCAAGCTCCCCAAGGAGCAAGCAGCTTTGCTGGATAAGAAGGCAGCACGTGCTATCCTGGGGTCTGGCTTGGTTCTACCCTCATCTCCCTGACCTTGAGTAGTCTGGGCTCCAGGTTGTTGTCTAGGAATCCAAAGGACCAGACTAGAAGGCAGAAGCCCCAGACAGAGATAGTAGGACCACAGGCTGGTACATTTACTTTATGGATGGGAAATCTGAGTTTCCCCAAAAGAGGCTCCAGGGTGCTAAGGAGAGAGCTGAGTTGAAAATCAGGTCTCAGCCAGCTTGGGGGCCTGGGCCCTCCCACTGTGGGAGCCTCCAGTGGGCTTTGCCCCCCACCTTCATGGTTTGTACTTTATCTGTATATCCCCCACACTAATTACTGAGGTTTTTAAATTTTAATTTATAAAGAAATTTTATATCCCACTATAAATGAAAAAATCAGTATCACTTGCTATAAATAGAGGGCAACAAAAATAAATACAACTGACTGTACAATGGTACTGAATCTAGCTAGAGACTATTGTCTCCAGCTCTGGGCTTCCTGCCTTCTCTGTTGGTAAGGAAGGTTAGATGTTATTAAAGTGTTGTAGCACCAAGCCAAGACTTCCTTTCAATTCATAGAACTGAAAGACCAATGCAAAACCAACTCTCCTCACTGTGACTCGTGACTCAATGATGTTCAATGCCATTTGGGATGTGACCCAAATCTGCTGGATACCAGCGGAGTCCCACACTCTCAGAGGCACTGGCCCGATGACCTGCTCTTAGCTCCTGCAAGGTGTCTCAGATGCCCTGTTGAGTAGGGAATGGGGTGGGGGTGAGGCCACAAGTGTAGAGAAGGGGTGGCTGGTCCCAGAGTCCTCCCGCACCAGCCATGGGTGTGGCAGGAATGCAGGTGACTGAGCCAGTGCCACATGTCAGGGATGTTACCTCTGTGAAGTAGGTGCAGTAACTCCCACTTTGCAGATGAAGAAACCGAGGCACAGGGTGTTAAGTCAGTTGCCCAGAGTCCCGCAGTGTAGTGACTGGCAAAGCCAGGCCTGGAGTCCAGGGCTCTCAGAGGCCACAAGAGGGAGTCTAAGATGACACACAGGGCAGGCGTGAGCAGTTTGCACTTCCTGCTGTGACCGGCCAGAGTTTAATCGCAAGAGGGGCCTGCCGGGCACCGGGAACAGGACGCTTAGGGAGGTGGCTGGGACTTGGCTGCAGCAGGGTAAGCAGCTCTGCTTTCCTCCAAGAGTTGGGGGGGTTAGGGGGGTGGAGGGAGGGAGGAGGGGTGCCAGGGGCCTCAGGGCCTTGCTGAGTACCCTGTGACCCCTCCCTGTAGCAGTACTTCATCCTCCTCATCATCACTGACGGCGTCATCAGCGACATGGAGGAGACGCGGCACGCCGTGGTGCAGGCTTCCAAGCTGCCCATGTCCATCATCATCGTGGGCGTGGGCAACGCCGACTTCACTGCCATGGAGTTCCTGGATGGGGACAGCCGCATGCTGCGTTCCCACACGGGGGAGGAGGCAGCCCGAGATATCGTGCAGTTCGTGCCCTTTCGAGAGTTCCGCAACGTGAGTGTGGGCCCAGGTGGGGGGGACCCCAACAACCATAGCTCATAATCAAGGCTGTGTCTTGGGATTGCCCGGCCCACCCTAGACTCTCCACCCCCAGCTTCTTTGACTGTGTACTTCCTGGAGGCCTAAGTGCCAGACACCATGCTACGCCTTGCCCCAGAGGAGGGCACTACGACAGTGTGAGCACGTGCCCCCACAGGCCTGATCCAGGCTGGGGTTGTGGGGCAGGGTGTCCTGGAGGACCCATCCTCTAACTAGGGTCATGAGTGGGAGATAGAAGTTACCCACATGGCACAGAGCATTCTGGGCAGACAGAGGGACCAGGGAAAAGGCCCAGAGAGGAGAAGAGCTCTCCTGGTAATCACCCCTCATCCAGCACCCTGATTTTGCAGATGGAAACAGGGACTTCCTCATCTTAGACTGGTCTCCTCTCACCTAAAGGCCTCTGCCTGGGGCACCAGTGTCCCGTCTTATTCCTGGAGGTGGCTCTGGCCTTATTTGCAGGTGATCCCAGGTCTGCCCACAAGGAGGCTGGGGTTGGCTTCCCGGTCACTGGCCTGGCAGCAGGTACATGAGGAGTCCCAGAGGGGAGCAGAGTCTCAGATGATACCCTGAACTGCGGGCCTAACCCTCGTTTGATCAGAGGCTTGCTGTGTGGTCTCATGCAAGCTCTGACCTCTCTGGGCCTACCCCTCGGCTGTCAGGGCCTCTCAGGAGCTGCCATGGCTTAGCTGTGGGGAGCCAGGCTCGGTGAGAACTGATCACCCTGGTTTACACCCAGTGGTCCTCACATCCCTGCCCAGCATCCTCTGGCTTTGCCTGAGATGGTTCCACTCCTTCCTCTGGAGCACTAGCTTCCCTAGGACAGTGACAGCACCTCCACGTGCCTGGCCTACGGCTGGCAGTTCAGCGAAGCGACAGTCATGGCCCATTTGTATCGGCCAAGGTGCTCAGGAAGCGTCTGCCAGAGGTGTAGGCTGTGCAGCACGCCTCCACTGTCTCTTTCCCCAAAAAGCCTCCCACAGACAAATTCTTCCTAAAACATTGCTCTGAGGCATCTTGAGTGCTCAAGGTAAGAGTGACACTTAACATGAAGGCAGGCGCTGCTAATGATGGGGTTTCAGGCACGGGCTGGGATGAGGGACGCTAGTTTTAGGTGGCCCTGGCCCTCAGCCCGAGTTCTGTTGGCCACAGACACCTGCTGTAGCAGCCCTCTGGGCACCGTGCCCCTCAAAACTTCCATTAATTAATCCTTATTCTCTCTCCTCCCCACCCTCACCCCTACAGGCAGCGAAAGAGACCCTGGCCAAAGCTGTGCTAGCGGAGCTGCCCCAACAAGTCGTGCAGTATTTCAAGCATAAAAACCTGCCCCCCACCCACTCGGAGCCTGCCTGAGCCCCACCCAGCAGCAGCATGCCGGCTGGGCCTCCCCCCAACCCCCAGAACATGCACGCTCACCCTGCGTCCCTGTGGGTGGCATTTTTTTTACCGATCGGCATTTTTATTTTTTACAAATGGACCTACACCCCCAACTTCCCCCAGCCCAGCTGGGCTTCCTTTGTTGGAGTCAATTGATGATGCTTCCAGGCCAAACTTCCTCTCCTCCCCTCCCCACCCTTGCCACTCTTAAGTATTGAATGTACTTTGTATAATTTTAGTGGAATTATTGTTATTAAAGGAAAATAAAATTTTTACAATCATAACTGGCTTTTTCCAAGTAACTAGCTGCAGACGCTGAAAGGAACATGTTCTCGGTGCATACTTTGTGCTGTAGCTTGCACCTGATTCCTGCTCTGTTTTTTTATACTGTGACTGTGTTCTATTTGTTATACTCAGGGGAATAAAGGAGTTTCAGACGTCCCCGTGTCCATTCCTTCCTCAGCTGGGCCCTCATGGGCTCACTGATCTGGGAAGGGAAATAGAACCTGCAAATCCCTTCTGCATGAGGACGTGCATTCCTTATCAACGGTGACAGTCTGTTAAACCAGCACAGAACGTGGCACACTGCACACACTCGTTATCCGTGGATGAACAGAATGTGCAGGCCCACCCGGTTTCTGGGCTCCCCATTCGGGCCTAGCTACCACCACACCTCTGTCCCCCAACTGGTCAGCAGTCCCAAGCATGTGGTCCACCACAAGAGGAAAGCGTCTTGGCCTCAGGACCCCAAGTAGGGCTGCTTCTGTCCCTGCTGTTTCTACCACATCCCCCTCTCTGGGCTCAGGTCCAGCTTTACGAAACAGCCAGAGGACTGCTCTCTGAAACCCCAGCTCTCCTTCCAGATCCTTCTTTCTCCCACGTAACACCTCTCTTTCACCTTTCTACCCCCCGCTGGGAGTTCCAGTCCAGCCCCTTGGACACAGTGACGCGCAACCAGGAACGACTAACCTTTCTATTGGGCGCTAGGTTTCCAGCTCCGCATGGAATGCATCACAGGCACTATCTTGATGAACTCTTCCAGGAGCCCCTGCCTATGACCATTTCTGAGATGAAACAAGCAGAGGTTAGTCGAGTCTCCTAGAGGCGGAGCCAGTTCTATCCGAGCCCGGCTGACTCCACACCCATGCTTGTGCCACTGTGTTGAGCGCCTTCCCTCGGCTCCACAAGGGTTGCTTCTGCTCAAGCTGCTAACGTGTCTGTCACTCCACGCCACTGCAACTTTGTCCCCACCTACTCTCCCACTTTTAGGCAGCACGCCAGGCAGGTCCCCACCTCCAAGTGCCTGGTGAGCTCAAGCCCGTTTATCTGGTGGGAGCAAGTGAGGGATGCCTTCATCCTAAGCTTCCGATGCCTCTGCTGATTCTGTGGCCACCAAGTATGCTTTCGGGACACCTTCACTTCTCTCGAGAGGGCCGCAGGACTACACAGAGCCCTGATTTTGCCGACTGTCCCTTCAGGAAAGCACAGTTCACCGGTCCCTAGGCTGGCAACACAGATGGAACCCCACTAGCACATCTGTTCAGCACAGCTGCAAGACTAGGTGTTACCTGAAACATCACAGAGTGCTCGTGTCCCCTCATTTGGTAGTTGAAGTGAGTCTAGTGGATGGCACACCCAGGTAAGCCTGTACCCACCCCAGCTTGGGAGAATCTGTTACGTCTGATTCCCAGAGTCATAAATAAGGGAGCAGCCTTCTCCCAGCCCCACGTTCCCCAGAAACGGACCTCTCCACCTCTCCCTTACAATTCCCCACGGGAGTGACTTACCAGGTGGTAACACTGGGGAGACTGCCGTCCACTGGGCCATTTAGGCAGAACGCAGAGCTCCTGCCTTGCGCCAGGGGGTCTGTCCCAAATGCTCCCACTCTCACAGATCACTTGCCTCAGGTCCGTGGTGGCTTCACATCCTGAAACTGGGTGGATAAGTCAAGCAAGGCCCTTTACCTGGCCTGCTTCAGTCCACAATGGAAAAGAGTGTGCCTAAACTCTCGACAAGGCCAAGCCACTTTTTAAAAAGATCCTTGGTGCTGCCATTTGGTTCCTGCACATAGATGGCAGCCTGAATGGAAATCTGACCAGAAAGCCTCCTTCAGCCTTGAGTTGCCCCCACTGAGGCTAAGGCACTGACATTTGTTTAAAAGTTTCATGGCTCACGCCTATAATCCTAGCACTCTGGAGGCCGAGGCAGGCGGATTGCTCAAGGTCAGGAGTTCGAAACCAGCCTGAGCAAGAGCGAGACCTCGTCTCTACTATAAATAAAAAAGAAATTAATTGGCCAACTAATATACATAGAAAAAATTAGCTGGGCATGGTGGTGCATGCCTGTAGTCCCAGCTACTCAGGAGGCTGAGGCAGGAGGATCACTTGAGCCCAGGAGTTTGAGGTTGTTGTGAGCTATGCTGACGCCATGGCACTCACTCTAGCCTGGGCAACAAAGTGAGACTCTGTCTCAAAAAAAAAAAGTTTCATGGATTAAAAGTTCTGCTGAAACCACAGAAGGCCAGACTTAAGAGTTAAAAGCGCAAATGAAAATTCTGCTTCTGTCACTTAGCTATACAACCTTAGGCAAGTGACTGAGCCACTGTGAATTTGCATTTCCTCTATAAAATGTAGAGAAAGGTTGCTTCACAGGACTTTTTTTTCTTTTTTGTGTGGATGAGAGACATTCCAGTCCACAAATAGAGGGCAGAAATGTCCCAAACTGCCTGGCACATTGGTAGCAAGCTCTCAGTATATATTGAATGAACAAAGTCAACACAAGGGATGATGATGTGTATGACTATTACTGAAATAGTAAGGGAGACCAGCCTACAGTGTAAAGCTTGGATGAAGGGCTGTCTCTCTAGGTTTTTCTGCCTATCTCTTCTGCAAAGCTGATGCTGGGGCTACATTCTGCCTGTTATTGCTGTGGGACTCCCTCTCTCCCTAAATCATTGCTCTAGCAGGTAAGGGAGCAAAATGCCAGCCTTTGCCAGCATCACTAAAGCATGAATATGTGACTGGCTTCTTGTATTCAACCTGTGACTCCACAAGCGTTGCCAAGATCTTAGCCTCCCACTGAGTAGAACTCGCATTCCAACCTGTTATGTGTAAGTGGGCTGGGCACGCCAAGACACCAAAAAAATACCCAAGGCCAAGTAATTGTGCATTGCCACGGAGCTCTCCTTTTTGTTTTTCTGGAAGGGCCTAAGCTGACAGCTGAGCCATATACCCACGGCTAGGACATCCAAGCCAAGGAACCGGGTGTGCCTAAGCAATTAACATTTAGCTAAGAGGGAAGCATACAGCAGGAGCTGGTGGTTGGAGCTTTGACGACCAGATATGACCCTTCCTCATGCCAGGGTTCTAGCTGCAACAGAGGAATGCCAGTGGAATGCATAAACCTGTATAAATCACCACTAATGGAAGCTCTGGACATATCACCCAGAAACAAGGGAAGGCCAGTGGCAACAGTACTGAGGACGGCTACCACTTCCTGGGCACTGTGTGCCAGACACACCTCATCTAGATGCTGTCCCTAGGAACTTGGTGGCGTTACTCCTATTTACCAGGGAGAAAAGTGAGGCCCAGAGAGGTTGCCCTAACCTTGCCCAAGTGACACAGCTAGCCAGGGAAAAGCAGAAGCGGTGGGGAAAGTCCAAGGCAAATGAAGCTTCGCTCTTGGGTGGGAAGGGGAAGAATTCAGGGGCTAAAGAGTCAAAGAAATGAGCATACAAAGGACTAGCTCCTGTCACGCCTAGTTAGGGGCTCCTGACTCCCATGACAGAATGCTCCTGAAAAAAGCTAGAGCTGCCACTCTGGATTTGGGAAGCCAGCTCTGTCTCCTCCTGGGTGCTGGGACCCTAGGAAGGCACACATAAACAGGTAGCCAGCCACCTTTTTGGGTCTAGTCACATCAGCCTCCCTGCTTTTTATAGCTGGAAAAACAGATGCTTTGAACTTCATACCCTCTTTCTCCCCACCCAGCCAGGGATACAAGCTGGATCCTCCTCCCCAAGAGAGCTGGCAACGGGATTCCTATTAGCTTTCTCCCTCATATGACTGCAGAGTTGTAAGAGTACTACTACCCGGGATAATGTAAGCAAGCTTAAAGAAACCCACTCCAAACTTTGTTCTTATCTCTTACTACTAGCTGTAAAATCCCAATTATTAAGGCAGAAGCACTACCCTTTTTGGTTTAAAGCAGAGTTTCCTTCCATTCCTGTTTATTCTGTTCTTTGGGTTTGAAGCACAAGGTCTACACGAGATGTTTTCCAAGGCTGCTTCCTCTGCAGGGCAGACCACACCCTGCCTGCTCGCAATGGTTTCTACAGAGTCTCTGTTTCAGTTCCAGGGCTCTACGCTAATGGGCACAATGGAATATGATGAAATGATCACCAGTGATTCTCAGTCTCTCCTGAGACAACAAGAGCAGCAATCTCAGTCTGAAGTCTCAGCCTTCTCAACACCATCTAGCTGTGACAGATGGGGAAAGCTTGAAGCACAAGATGCAGTGGAGGAAAAACAAGATCTTACTCTGGCGGGTTTACTAACTCTCATGTTAATGTGTGTTTTTAAACCCTGCAACCCTTTATCAACTTCTCCCAATTCTAACAGAGGCCACGAGTTACAGTAATGGCCTCTTAAAAAGCCAAGCCACATAAAGAAGGTGACTTTGATTCCCTGGTCTGCCTCCTGAGATGATGTGAGGTTGTTCTGGGTACGTGCTAGCATAATGGCAACACAACTGCGAACAAGGAAGCAAAGAAGCAGAGGTGCCTATAGTTTTACCTAAATGTCTTGTTAGGATGGAGTTGACGTGCCTATACGGACAGTCAGGAACAATTAGCACAGAGTAGTTGTGAAAGGAGGAAGAATTCACAAGGCATCAGTTATGGGTGAAGGGAAGTCACCATCTGCCAGTGGGCACCAGAGCGTCACTGCATTCATTGGAAGGGGAAAAGGAGTGTGGTTGGATGAGATCCAGGGGCCTCTCTGCCCACGTTAAAACTGAGTAGCTTCTCTGCCTGCCGCGTGGCAGTGTCAACACATTCTACGTGCGTCTCACTCAGTCTTACACCCAAGTAAGTAGAAACAATTGGCGTAGGAGCCAAGGGGAGAAAGAGCTGTATCGGCTCTTCCCCCTGAAGCAGGGGGCCTGTGGGTTATTAAAGCTCATGCCTACCTTTGTCCTTGAGGTCTCCGTACCTTCTCTCCCTGCCTCCTTCACAATCCAAGGGATGGGCCTGTGTCCCTTTATGAGACACCGAGGTGGAGCAGTACCT